GATGGAGTTTTGAGTATAATCAAATAAGATCCGACAAAGCCTATCTCAATTTTTTCTCCAAATTTTTTTTTATACAAACACAGTCAAAAGGCCTTCTTCCTAGCAAATGATTGAAAATATGTCAGAAAAACTTGAGAAGGAATATATTTCATTCCTATTCTCAAGATACTCTTTCAATGACAAACACAGAAATATAATTCTGTCTAAGAAGACATCAATAATTATTTTTATTGATTAATTATAAGCAATTACATAAAAAAATATACCCCTCCCTTAGGATAAAAATGCCATAGAGGCTAGTGAAAACCCCATGGAAGATTGTCAGCTGTTACTCACCCCAAATATAAATGAAGTGGATCATTTCTAAAGAACTGATTCTAGCTCGCTTTCAACAGAAAGGGTAGTGACTGTTAGAGCTGATACTAGACAAAAAACTGGAAGAGAAACCCTTATCATACCTGATAGCCTTTACCAAGATCTTCTGAATCAGACACATGGTAAAATCCTTGGAAGTAAGTGATAACCTTACATGCCTTAGGATTAAGTACTGGTTAACCTTTAAAAACAGTTCAAAACAAGAATATGGAATGTTCTATCCCCTATAGTTAATCCCTGCTAAGGTGTCTTTGGTTAAGTGTGGCGTGTAGGAGTCTACATATGTGCATTCAATACATTGCTTAAATCTTGGACACTCATGGTTCCTGATTCCAGAATCACACTAAAAGCACTGAGCATTGTCTGAAGGAAGCCCATGCTGGGACGCAATGAGAGTCTCTCAATTCTCAGACTCAAGAACAAATCCTAAGAGGGATGAATTTTTAAAAAGTGAGATTCACACATACGTATGTCATAACAAGAATGCTGTCCTTTTTGAAAATACATCATTCTTTTATGTTTTCCATTTCTTTTTAGTTGATCATTTAAATATCTATATTCCACTTCTCTGCTTGTCCTATTATGCAAAGTTCTTGGGGGTCTAAATGCTACAGTTGATTGTGTCTGCAGACTCTTATTCACGGTTAGTTTCTTATACTGCTACTTACTAGAATTAAGAGGGCATGCTCTAGGTTGAAGATATATGGTGATTTTTTCTAGTTCTTTATTAAGAAAATTTGCTATGATAACTGTTTTCATACATTAATATTTTGTTATAAATTTGATAAAAATGGAGGCTTGATTTAAAAAGATTTTCTTTTACTATGTTAACATCCTTTAAAGTGATACTATTCATTCAGTGAACAGTGATACTATTCATTCAGAATTTAACACAATTAGTTTAATTTCACTGAATGTCCAGCTCAGAATGCAATATAACATTCACAGAAGTGAAAAGAAAATCATGACTTTGAAACTTTTAAAAATTCAATTTCAGTATTTGGTTTAACGAAATATACATTTCTTATTTGCAAATTAGTTTGTAACCAATATCATATAAAGTTATAGAAAGGAATAATACATTTAAATATGAATGGGGACACATAAAACCCAGAATTATATTTTGGAGGGTAGGTCCCTTGTAATACACTTGAAATGTGTTCTTCCAGATCAAACAGAAAGCCAAAGTTTTTATCTGGAAGTTTTGAGAAGGCTGTGCCACAGTTTGTGGAAGAAACATCCTGAGTGGTGGCAAACAGGTGACTGGTTCTTCTACTGTGACAATGCTCCTGCCAACACCATGCTGAGTGTTCAGCAGTTTTTGACCAAAAACGGCATGAGCCCCATACCCCCACCCTCTATATTCACCTGATCTCACCCCAGCAATGTCTCCCCCACCACCCCGGATAAAAATGTCCTCAAAAGGAAACATTTTGCTGATGTGGAAGAGGTGAAACACTAAACAGCAGAAGCATGAAAAGGCATCAAAATTGATTAGCTTAAAAACTGTCTTGAGCAGTGGAAAAAGCATCTGAGTAGGTGTATTGCATGAAACAGGGTACTTTGAAGGTGACTGAAGTTTAAACATGTAAGAATAAATGCACAATTTTTAAAAAATAAATTCAGGGTTTTTGAAGCCCCCTCATACATTTTTAATAAATAATTTTTGTTGAAAAGAATAAAATTATAGGGACATGTCTAATATTTAACTGTAAGTCATTTATTTTTTGTGAAATACACTTTCATTCATCACCTCCCAAACTTAAGTCAAATGAGCTTCAAGCAAGTTCCTCAGATGGGGAATTTTTTGTGGAGGAGGTGGAACCAATGAACAATCACCACCTGCCAATTCTGATGCAGCATAGGACAGAATAGGGACAGTGAATGTGAGACAGATGACAATCCACACATAAACACAACTCGATGGAAATCTGAAGCACAGAGGACCAGGAAAAGGTGAGTAGTAGCTAGCCCTCATCCCAGAGAGACCAGGAAAGACATGGGCTTCTTCTGTTTAGGGGATGTGGTTTGAGCCAATTGTATTTGATTCTCCAGTGATAGGCAAATTAATGACTACTAGAGTTACATGAATTTGAAAGTAAAAGAAACATCAAAAAATACTTCTTGAGACCTTAATTTTAAAAGGAAAGTGCCAATATAGCATAACAATTGGGAAAGTGCTTTGGAGGCTTGCTATTCATGTATGTACGATGAAGCTGACCCAGAACGGTACTTATAGGAAGTGAGGACGAGGAGTTGGCATCTTCTTTAGAATCCTGAGTCCACTTGGTATGGAAATGGGGCAGTCTTTATTTTATTCAGACTTGGTTAGTCTCCTGCATCTGCATTATAAAATTTTAACCCTGTTTTGTTTGTTTGTGTTGGTTGATTTTAAAAGTCAACCTGTTTGCTTTTAATCAGCAGAATCACTGCACTCCAGGATCATGCCAGAAAATATGACCCATATACCAGGGGTACCCAAAAAATGTATATACATTTTAAGAGATGCTATCTATGTATTGCTTTCCAAACTTGAATTACAGTAGCAATGTGTAGTATGACATTTGCTCAAATGCTAGCCTCACCATATAACAGGCGGGTATATATTGAGTATTATAATTTTAATGCAGTTTTTTCCTTTCTAAAATATGTATACTTTTTTGGCACTCTTTATATTTTACTGTCTTCAACAGTCATGAGAATCAAAGGTACAAAAAGTAACATTCTCAGAGGATGATAGCCTAAAAGATATATAGCCTATTCATCTCTAATTTGTCTAGATTTTAATCCTAGACCAAGCCAAGACATCATTCATTAAGCTGAATAAATATTAGGATAGTGTGGGGGTTTTTTTGTTTTGTTTTGTTTTTGACAAGTCCCTCTACTCCTGTAAAATTGCTTTTACTGAATTGAGCTTTGTTGTAAGGTCCTCTGATTACTTGCTCTTGGTTTTACCGGTCAGATATATTGAGGAAGTTGCATCAGTCTGGCCCTTCACAAGCCTTATGGGAAAAGGTTTCTTCAGACCTTAAATGTAAGGAAGAGCTTTAACTCGCCTAATCAAATGGCGCATTCTCATTTTACAGATCATACAATTCTTATGAATACCTGGTCATGTTAATAAAGTTAAATTCGATTGAAATGATTAATTTTTTACTTTCATTTTGACATTTAAAAAGTCTCAACATAAATTCGAAATAACATTGTAAAAGACCCATTATTAAAGTGGAATGCTTTTAGGTAATTACACACATTCTCTGTTTTCAGAGACAGGTACTAGGCCATAGTCTTTGTAAGTCCTTGCCCTCTTGAAAGAATCAGATCTCCTCAGAGGTCTAAAAGGGGCTAACAAGGAAGCATGGAGCCACTTAGTAACTGAGCCTCCCAGTTTTAATGCAGTGTCACCTTAGCTCATCTTCTATGAGCATAACCTTATCAGTTGGTTGCCCTTGACCAACTTGTATTCTCATTGTCTTCTTGATTAATGATGGCAAACCTGTACATTTCTAACATTACTGTGTTCCTGTTCTTTGGCATCCATTTCTGCATTGTGCTATGTAACCCCAAACTGCACCATCAACTATACCAGCTGTGTCTATGCTGATCAACCTGACAAATGGGAAGAAATGGTCTAAAAGAAAATCAAACAGATTTGCAAACCTATATTTAAAAAAAACCTTAAAATTCAAATTACATTGTAACTAGATAACTTCTAGAAATCCAGATAGCATTGTACTTATGTTGATACTTTTTATTTAGTGTGCAAAATATAGAAATGTCATTTACAAAAATCAAATATACTGAGTCTATTAGGAGACATATTTTAATAAACATGTTCTCTTTTCCCTGAATAATAAGCTTTGGAAAAATCTATCCTAAAATAGATCATTGTTAAATTGACAAAGTATAAAGCATGGCTCCTTACAGGTTATCTTCAAAAAAATTCTTTTTCTGAAGTCAACTAGTCCAAATATGTACTTGCCACCAATGTGTGGGTAGAAGGAGAATAATATAAGCTAAAAAACTCAAAATTTAAGCTCAAAAGAGACATTAATAGAAAAATAAATACTCTTCCAAAAAATCTCAAGTGAACTAAATTATTTAAGAACAGTGTCATTTCAGATTATCAAAGCTTCTTTACAAAAGTCATCATTCAAGAATAACTTCCTAACTCATTCTATGAGAGCGGCATTACCTGAAAATCAAGAACAAAGACACTACAAGAGTCAAAAGACAGACCAACATGCTTTATGAATATTGATGCAAGAATCTTCAACAAAATACTAGTAAACTAAATACAATAAACTACTAAAAGAATTATACACCCTGACCAACTGGGATTATTTCTGGAATGCAAGGATGATTAAACCTATGAAAATCAATCAATGTAATATACCACATTAAGCAAATGCAGGAAGAAATTGTGATTATGTCAACTGATGTAGAAAAAATATTTGACAAAATTCAACATCTTCTCATGATAAAAACACTCAACAAACTAGGAACAGGAGGAAACTACCTCAACATAATAAAGGGTTGTTTGTACTCATAAATATAACATTTTTAGATTAATAATCTATATTAAAAAACTGGACTCATTAAAAATTCCCATAATGAGTACTTACCTGCCAATATTTTCTTGATTTGTCTAAACCATAAGTCACAGTGGTCTTCACTTAAATTAATAAGATCAAGTGTAGAATCCTTTAGTTTATTTCGCTTCTTTTTCAAACAGATGAAGAGTGTGATGCCTAACAAAGTGCCACCGCTCTGCTGTTTAACAGAACAACGCCGTTTTAGTTTCACAGAGAATATGTCTTTGAGTTCAATAAAGTCTTCTTTACACAGCAAGTCATACTTGGAATCACCTGAAAAGAAATTTTCCAATCAAATCCACTGTGTCTATATTGTAAATCTATAAGTAGTAGTCAAAACCAAGAAAAATCTTTATCATTTGTAATTCTATGCATTGTCTTTTATGTCAGTCTGTGTATGAGATGGAAAAGGGGAGAAAAAGAAAAATTGGGTCAATTTTCCCAAGAATCAGGGCGAGGGTGGAGAATAAATGGAAGAGAGTCCTTGTCACACAGATCTAGAACATTCACAAGCTGAGGTTATTTAATGCATAAAGAATTTCAAGAACATAAACAAAGTGACATTTTAGTAATAATAAGGTGGCATCACATAAGGAGTTCTTTGGTGGTAAAAGAACAGAGTCATGGTAAAAAAAAAATTCACTAACAGAAGAGAGTTATGACGGTTTGTTGAAGGCAGCCTTAAAGAAGAGGAAATGTACATTTCTAGTAAAGTAAAACATGGGCAAAAAGCAGAAGTAGGATTTCTGTGAGTAGGAAACATTATGAACTCCTGCCAGTCTAGAAAGAAATATCCTCCTGAAACTTACCATAATCAGACTGAAAAAAAAAAAAGTAGTGGCATACAAAGTGTACATCTGTTTATTCTACAGTGATTACTAATCTTTTCCCCAGAGTTTACAGCATCCCTTCTGGGCTTGTGTTCATGTGGCAAAATTATCCTTTTTTATAAGAATGAGTGAAAACCGAAATCACTCTCAATAATCAAAAAACAACTCTAGAAGGTGTCTATTTATGTAGTAACATGTGCAAAAGCCACAACAATTTTATCTTCAATTCAAGAATCTAAAGAAGGGAAAAATATGCAGTGCCTCAAGAAGTATCTGGGCTTAGTAACCTACTGGGAAAATTTCCACTGGAGAAGGTATCAGTAATTGCTGGGAAATGTAGTAGAATGTTAGAAAGTAGAAAACTGGCATAGTGATAATCCTTAAAAATGACATCTTTCTGTTACAGTTTTCAATGCTGTGAAAGAAATGTTTGACAATAGTGAATAAAAGGTAAATTATTCTTAAAAAATAGTGGCAATAATTTTTTTTTTTTAACTACAGGTCAGGAAAAAATGCTGCGTAAAAATCCATTTCAACTAACTCTCACAGTAGAAATGCTTTAGACTTTAAAATAAGTATTTCAAAACTTGTGCTCTGGTCAACATGAGATGATAGGGACTGGTTTCACTTTCTACCTGAAACAACTACAGAATCACACCAAGATACATAAAACAGCAGTTTTCGGATATTGGACAACAGTGATCCCTAGAAGAGAGGAAGCTAAGTGAATCATAGGATTGCCCTAAAATACTGCCTGCAGAGAGTTTCTATGCCACACTACAGGTAAAATAACCCTGGTAATTCCTCTGAGTTGAAAAGGAATTGTGGGTCCAGGAAGGCCAAGATGACCAGTGTTTACTGTACAACTTACTGGAGAAGAGAAGGCTGCTAGAATAAAGAGTCTGCTCTCTGTGCAAAGATCCTCTTGAGTTTTCATCTGTGTATAGGTTAGCATATGAGGGGGGACCCATACAAAAAACTGAGATTTGTTTATTAAAAACTGTGTATTTATTCGTACATGTTTAAACTTTAGCCACTTTCAAAGTACTCTTCATTTGATGCAATACACCTATTGCATCAAAAGACTAGGGTGCTCAAAAGTTTTTGAACTCATAAAATTTGACACCTTTTAGTGCTTCTGACAGTTTTTGTTTTACCTCTTCCACATCAGCAAAATGTTTCCCCTTGAGGACTTTTCTCATCAAAAAAAAAAAAAAAGAAAAAAAAAGTCTCCCAGATGAGATCAGGTGAATAGGGAGGGTGCCACATGGGAATGATGCCATTTTTGGTGGAAAAATACTGAATACTCAGCACAGTGTGGGCAAGTGTGCTCATAACTTACCAAAAAAAAACTTCACTGAAGCTGAATGCAGCCTCTTACAACATTGCTAGCTGGTACACTTATGTCAATTGGTTCCTAGAACACTTACCTAGCAGGAAAAGTCTGTACTACAAAAGGCCTGCCTTCCAGAAAAATAATTCTAGTTTGTTGGGGGGGGGTCCTCCCTCATATGTGCAAGGCCCAGGTAAGAACTACTCAAGGATGAACAGAACAAAGCTCAGAAATCACACAGGTGTTCCTACCAACCCAAGGGGAAAAGCACTGGCATTCATAGGACACTACGGACAATACTTAGAGGAGTATTTTCACATTAGTGAGCACTTAAAGACTGCCATGATTCCACCTAACATACCTTAAAAGCAGGCCTCTCCAAAGGATGATGCTCTTTCCAACTTAACCACATCCTAGAACAAAGTTTAATAATATTTACAGAAATACAAAAATATTCAGCAACTCTACATGCTAAAATTTACATCTCTCATGCAATCAAAAAGAAAAAAATAATCAATAGAAACAGATGCAGAGATGACCTGCATGCTAAAAACAACAGACAGCAGAAAACCTCTCTCAGCTTTTTAGCCCTTGAAGTTTGTGTAATATCATTCTCAGATTGGAGTGAGGACTTTCAGTTGTTTTAAGAGGTTCCTTGCATGTATTTTCAGGGAGTTATTTTGGCCTCTCCCTACCATTCAGCAAACTATATTCTGATTGCTCACAAAGTACACATACCATTAAAAACAGCAAGGAAGGAAGGAGGAGGAGAGGGGAAGTGGAGGAGGAATGAGGGGAAGAGGAGGAAGGAGGAGAGATGGAGGGGGGGAGAAAAGAAAAAAGTTCTTCTCTCACTGATTATGACAGTGGAATAAGGTAAATCCAAAGTGCATTTCTCAGGCCTGTCATTACTTAGAAGAGGTTCGAGTTTCAGGTCTTCCTGTGGTGCCCCTCTTGAGTCATTCAGTGACCTAAGAATCATCACCCTCAAAGTTTCAATTCAATAGGCTTTTATTCCCCTGAATATCAAAGTATTTCATGTGTCTTGGAAAACCGAACAATCATCACTATTACTACAATCATTACCGTAACTTATCAATAGAAAGTACTTGAGCCAAAATGCTTTCTATGCCTTTACAATGACTCACCCTAGTCTTTTTCTGTACATACTAATTGATTCACCTACGTCAGTAAAATTGGCTTTTCTCTAGTGCAACAGTTCTAAAACTTTGTAGTCTCAGAACCCCTTTTGTACTCTTAAAGATTTCCATAATTTTGGTTTATGTGGTTTATACTATATTTATTGTATTAGAAATTAAAACTGAGAGTTTCTAAAGCACAAGAAGAGAAAGCTCATACTCCATTAGGACAAAGGTGTCACCAGATATCCCATAGCATCTGGAAAACTCTACTGTATCCTTGGGAAAGAGTGAGAGTGAAATTACATTCTTAGTAATATTATGAAAATAGTTTTGACCTCATCAATCCTGTGGAAGAGTCCCTGGACCATTCTTTGAAAACGTTGCTTTAACATAAGTTAGATTGCTTGTTCCTTCTAATCATGCTATGAAGTTATGCCCTTTTACAGATTCAACATTCTAATTAAATAAAATTCTTGTTTCCATTTTAATGCTCAAACTTGTCATTGACTGACCAGTGAGACTCCCTCCAATCTGGCTCCTTTGTTACAATCTATAGAGTGATGTCTTTGAAAACAGCCTTTCTTACTTACAGCAACATAATATTTTAAGGACATCTGGGTTCCTCAAGGGGTCCTGGATATCATTTTAAGGAAGGATAAATTAAATATATTAGAAATGAAAATCTAGATCATATGGTACTATCTACAAAGAAACCCAAACTCACTCACAGTAAGTAATCAGTAAGGTAGGTGAACATGTGGACTTATTGCCAGTATTTGCACCTGTTTAGCAGGCAAGCATGTGGCCAGTTTCATGAGAATACTCTTCTTCTACTCTCAAGAATGAAAGAAAGCAGGTTCGCCAAAGATCCTAAAAAATTCTATGGAATGTAATGAATTACAGAGTAGTGGTCTGTAACACTTACGGTAGCTTATCTTCCACATGGGGGCGCTGCTGGGTATCTGCTTCAAGTAGCTAAATGCATACAGATTAAGTCACACCACTTACCCACCTAAAGAAACTTGCAGTTTTGGTTACATCTGTGGGTGTTTTTCAAAAAAATCAATCAAACAATCAGCAAAATTGAACATTTTTTCATTTATTCAATTTCCATTTGTATATATATTTTTAGGAGACATGGTCTCACTGTTTGTCTAGGCTATAGTATGGTAGTTGTTCAAAGGTACACTTAGAGTTCACTATAGCCTCGAACTCCGACTCATCTTTTTTGTCTGTTTCTGTTTTTTTTAAAACAGAAACACATGCTTTTCCCTATTACCATTTAGTTTCTTGTCTTTTTTTTAACTAATTTTTTGATACCTTCAAATAATCTTGAAATTAGTCCCTTATCTGTTAGAAATAACTTCTAGGCTAATCGCATAAAATATTGATTATGACCTTGTATCACACATAAATTTAGTTTTTTTTTTTTTTTAATATGGTCAAACAAATAAGAACACTAAGGAGGGAAGGGAGGCAGGGAAGAATAAACAGTCACTGAAAGAAAGAAAAACTGTAAGAGGTAAAATAAGTTTTCTTCGCTTTTCATTTGAAGTCCTGTACTTTAGTCTGAGTTCTTTAATGAGTGTGTGCTTTACTTTGGTTAACAAACAATTCGGTGACTATTCCAAACTCTTATAAATTTCAAATTTAAAGATACTAAACCAACAGCCAACATTACACTTAGTAGTGAAAGCCAGAAGTATTCTCAGAGAAAGGGCAAGAATATCTATTGTCACTCTTACCATTCCCAATTCGTCTAGACATTCTGATCAACACCATAGGTAAGGAAAATGAAATTTAAAAACTGTCATTTGTGGAGGCAACGGAAGGGGGAGCTAAAACAATAACTATTTAAAGATAAAGATAAAATCACAACTGATTTGTAAATTCCAAAATAACTTAAAAACATTAGAACTAAAAAAAAAAAATGCGGTCAGAAAGTCAGAAAGTTGGTAATTAATAAGACATCATAATGTAATGGGGATAAAGATATCCCATACCAATTAACATAGTATAGTATATAAGGAATAAACTTAGCAAAATGATGCTGGACTTACATGGGGTGAAAAAGTCATTCAAAATCTACTGAGAGACTATTAACTGAATAAATGGAGATATACCAAGTTCCAAGATTAAACATTTTCCACGCCAGTATTCTCATTATATTTTCATTATTAATATCTACTTATAATGCAACTTCAATCAAAATCTCAATGGTGTCTTCTTCAAAGTAAAGGGGCAAAGAGCCTAATCAAATGTTTTGTAAATTCTCTTGGAATAATAAATATATTGCATTAACTAAGAAAATGTTTTTAAACTTAGGAGGAGGAGTGCCTGCCCTAGTAGATATATTTGGTACAACTATAATAATTAAAACATCTAGGAATAAATAAATGGACCAAAGAAAAATTTACATACATTTAAAAATGCACGAATGTGATAAGGGTGAAATCTAAGTTCAGTGATAAATAGAAAAAGATGATTTGGAACTAACTTTTTGAAAAGGAATAATAGAACACTATTTCATAATATACACCAATATATCTAGATCAGAAAGAAACTTACATAATCATAAATTAGAGAAACCCAAAGTTAGACAGCAAAGGTAGAGATACACAGATCAAGATAGTTAACATAAAAATTATTTGCCTGGGCTCGATGGCTCAGTCTGTAATCCCAGCACTTGGGGAGGCCGAGGCGAGTGGACTGCCTGAGCCCACGGGCTAGAGACCAGTCTGGGAAACTTGGCAAGACCTCGTCTCTACAATAAATGAAAAATTAGCCAGGCAAGGTAGGGTGCGCCTGTAGTTCCGGCTGCTTGGAAGGCTGAGGCGGAAGGATCGCTGGAGCCCAGCAGGTCAACACTGGGGTGACCACCAGCGTGCCACTGCACTCCAGCCTGGGCGATGGAGTGAGATTCCAACTAAAAAAAAAGTTACTTAATGCCCATAAAGTTCTAAGGATTCAAAAAGAGGAATCATAAACAAGAGGTCAAACGAACAGAAATATTTGCAACATATGACAGTTATATAATCTATTTCATCAAGATGAGAAACGCTTTAATAGATGGTGCATAGAAGACCCAAGCAGATATTTCACAAAAGGAGAAATGCAAATTGACCAATGAGCGTATGAAAAAGTTCAACCTAATTAGTAATCAAAGAAATGCAGATTAAAACAACAAGATACCATTTTTTGCCTTTTAGATTGGCAGGAGATCAAAAACAAAGCTCAATGACAGTGCTGCTAAAGGGAAGCAGTCCCAGCACTGGTGGGAACACAAAAATGGTAACTGCTGGAGAACAAGTTGGGAATATGTATCAAAAGATTTCAGAATGTTAATTGCAGTAATACTTAGAATACCAAAAATATTTGAAGCAATATTCATGTTCTTCTACAGAAGAACAGTTGAATAAATCAGTTATCTCCTGCAGCTTAGAAATTAGCATGATCTCTGTGTTCTGGTCTACAAAGGCATTCATGCTAACAGGTATGAATAAGTAGAATAAAAGCAAGTTACAAAGTAATCAGAGGGATGTGATGCCATTTTTATTAAAGAAGATTTAAAAAACAGTGGAAAACACACAACAAACTTAACATTGGTTACCTAATAAAAGAGAGCTATGAGGTAGGGGATATGAGATTAATATTTTCTTATAAACCTCCATAATTCTTCCATCCTGTAATCAGAATTACATGTTATCATGTTTTTTATGGTAGAAAAGAAAGATAATTTACTTATTTATTTTTGGAGAGACTATGTTGCTCAGGCTGGGTCTAACTTCCAGGCTCAAGCAATCCTTCTGCCTCAGTCCCCCAAAGTGCTGGGATTACAGGCATGAGCCACCATGGCTGGTGAATTAGTAAAAGAAAATACTTTAAAATATTCATAGTTTTGATCCACCAATTTATTTTCAGAAATTTACCTGGGAGGAATAAATAATATACACAATTTAGCTAAAAGAATGCTTACCCGAGCATTATTTAAGTGAAACTTGGAAACAATCTAAATGTACAATGATAGAGTACTGGGTTCTGTAAAATAAAGTATATTCATAAAACGGAATGCTATTCAACTATTAAACTGTAGAAGGAACAAGAAAGATGTGCAAAATAACGCAGCACATTTCCATTACTATTTTATATATTTACTGACTACCTTTGTGTAATATTTTCATATGTATTTTAAATGTGAATATGCATATAAAAACTAGGAGGGATGAGATTGTACTTTATTTTGCTTATACGAATTTCTAATTTTTCTACAGTGGAAATATTTTTGTGATTAATTGAAAAAATTTGCTTCCTTTGCTAATCCTAAAATAGTTTCTGGTTATTTTATTTGTTTCCATTTTAAAAGTTCATTTCCTAAAAGGTATAGCTAATATTTAATGAACATGTTTTATACACCAGGAGCTGTCTTATGCACTTCACTTGTACCATCTAATTAAATGCTAACAAAAAGTACGTGCTTTTTCCTAAGACAGAAGAAACTCAAGACGGAATTTAAGTAACTTGTCCATGGTCATATGAGTACATCTGATAGGGGGCAGATCCAAAATTTGAATCCAAGCATTTTGACTGGTCTTCACCATAACTCCTTGATGTGGACGTAAGGACTTCTTCAAGGAAACACTCATTAGCCCTCTTATCTGTTTGGTTTTTTTTAAATTAATATATATGTTAATTAAAATAAAATGTACAGATTTGTAAGGGCATAGTTCCATGAGTTTTGTCAACTTATGCACTCATGTAACTACTATCCCAGTGAGGGAACAGAATTTTTCCAGTATTACAGAAAGTGTTCTCATGTTGCTTTCCAGTTAATTCCTCACAACCACGAGTTTGATTATCACTACAGGTTATGTTTGTCTTTTCTAGAACTTTTTATTAATGCGCCATAAAGTATGTGTTTTTTGAGTCTGGCTTATTTTACTCAACTTTAAGGTTTTTCGATTTATCCATATTGTTCTCAAATACATTTAATTGAATTGATGGGATTCATGAAATTACCCATATTAAAAATTAATAAGATTAATATGAAAGGTTGAGGCAGAAGGATCGCCTGAGCCCAGCAGGTTGACACTGGGGTGGCTGTGAGCATGCCACTGCACTCCAGCCTGGGCAACAGAGTGAGACTCAAACTCAAAAAAAAGAAAGACTATGTTATTTTTTAAAAACTACTGTATGCCTCTCTTGGGAGGATTTATTGGTCCCCAATCTCCAACAGTTCTCCTTTTTCACCAGTATTTTTTTATATTACAGCTTTGCTTTTTCCCAGTTTTAGTAGGATACAACTGACAAATAAAAATCATATATATTTATGTTTTGATATATAATATTTTGAAATATGCATACATTGCAAAATAATTAAATCAAGCTACTTAGCATATCCCTCATCTCATTTAATTATTTTTTGTGTGATGAGATCATTTAAGGCCTAATCTCTTACATTTAAGTACACATTATTAACTATGGTCACCATGCTATACAATAGATCCAAAATTCATTCATCCTCCCTAACTGAAACTTTGTACCTTTTAACCAACATCTATCTCCCCATTGCCTTCACCTCCCCCAACATTGTACACTCTACTTCTGTGAGTTCAACTTTTTTAGATAACACATATAAGTGAGACCATCTGTTTTTAAATCTAGTCAAACTTAAAACAGTAGGTGAACCGGAGTTCTGCCTGTAGTCCTTAGGAAAACAGCTAGACAGCAAAATTAACTGAGGAGTATTTTATCAAAAAGTGGTTAGACTGTAACAATCAGGAGCACCTGGAATGAAAATTCTGAAAATCTCTGTGACCATCTGAACGATATTTCCTGTATTCCCTGCTCAGGCTTCCAATCTCCTCTGCATTTGCTCAGAGTCAAGGTTTTCAATTAAATGATCTTTTTACTAGAGTCATAAGAGGAAACTAGGAGGAAAAATAAG